TTTTAAGTGTGACATACTCAAACAGAGTATCTCCCAGCGCCTTTACAGGTGTTCCAGCAGCCCTTCAATACACGACAAGTTAATCACATCCTCTGGTTACATTTTCTCCTAACAAAGTGTACTTCTCAGATAATGAGATTCACCAATACTTTTCAATAGGCCGACATGGAACTGCCATAACAAGTCTCTTGATGAAACGTGTGTAATTGTGGGGTTTCAGCTTTGTTACAGCAAATCTATCATACAATAATTAGGATTTTACACACCCCGTCTGCCTGAAGCCATGACAGATGTGCACTATGTAAAATATGTTTTTTGTAGTGACAATTTTGTTGGGAATTTTTCAAGACTAACTGCACCGATGACATTCAGTTCTTCACAACACATTAAGTTTGCTAAGTCTTGGCCCAAATGGAAATGCAGATCTGTGGCATTTGAAAAAATTTGAAAAGAAGAAAATGGTTCACTAATTTAAGGGAAAGGTCACGTTGCATAACAGTTGAGACTGACTTTTTGGGAAGTACTTTGTTTTCAGAGCTGATTTTGGGTGAGTTCCTGTGCCTTCCAGCCCAACCTACTTTTGACACAGGAGGGAACAAATAGAGGGAGGAAGAAACGGCCACATTCAGAGATTTCTTCATTCTCTGTCAACATCCAAAAAAAAATCACTTCAAAAACAGCTTTATTCTGCATTTGCCAAATTACACTGGCGGTAAACAAGTCAGGATCTCTGGAAGCAAAATTTGTGTTTGTGAAAGATTTCCTTCAATCCACGCTGAAAGAGCAAAACAAATCCAAGGTCAGATTTCCAAAGGATGTAGAGGCCATATTTTTATCATCTGAAAGGATTTACTGAGTGTAGCTTCGAAGAGCACATGTTTGCTGCTGTCGCTCCTCTGAATACTAACTACATTTACAGAGGAAAGACATTGGTTAAATTGGTTTAGGTGTTTGTTTTTCAATTATAACTTGCCAAAGCAGAAATAGTAACATGTGGTATTCTGCACAGGGACACAGTGGCATATAGACCAAGACAGAACCCTTTGGCATGAATAGCCACTGAGTTACAATGTCATTACTTGTACCAGTCCTTTCTTCAGTGATTTTATATTTTAAGGTTCCTGTTTATGTGTCAAGATTTCTTAAGGCATTGTTTATCGACTTTTTTTGAGCCATGGCACAAGTTATAAGTAATGGAAAATATAGAATATAAAAGATCTTCTTTTTTGTTTAGTTGTTTGCAGCCACCTAATGGGAAAGTAATAAAAAAGATCTTCTTTTTTGTTTAGTTGTTATAAGCATTTGCAGCCACCTAATGGGAAAGTAATTAATACATTGTATTGCCTCGGATGTGGCATAAAACAAACAAAATAAAACAAACAAACAAACAAACAAACAAACAAACAAACAAACAAACAAACAAATATATATATATATATATATATGATATGCATAATAATAAAAAAATAACTTTACCATTTGATCATTTTCACCCTGCTCCTTACAGAATTCTTGATAACCCTGTCATAACACATGGTTTTCATGATAATTTATTTCGCTCCTGACATTTACTGGATGTTCACATCATTCTTGATTTACTGTAATTGGGATTTTTAGTGTGATGTCCAAGGTCAAGGACGCTCCCAGTGGACATCCTGTAGCTGTCCACACACTGGCTGCTGTCCTTATGATTTAACCTGTCATCTTTCAGTTATAGGTTGATCGCTATATTTTCTAGGTCACTGTGCGGTTTGTGTTGTGCAGGTAAATGGTCATCAGTGTGGATGATTGATACTGTGAGAACTGTGAAGAAACTGCTTCCAATGAAATCCTGGACTTACAGTTCAAGAAAAAGGACATGAGTGGTTGCTTCCTTTTTGGTTGGTTGATGGTTCTGATTTAAATCAATATCAAACAAAACAGTGAACTATCAATCGGTAATGTCACCAGGTACAGGAGGTCACCAGCTGTACATTTTGCCAACTTTTTATCTTTTTTAAGTTTTTATCTAATGACACTTTTTAAATCCACTCTCAGATTTCCCTGGTCCTTCATGATTCTGATGGCAGACACTTTTCTTCATGCGATGATTGGAACAAAAACCTTGTCGTCCGTGTCATCTCATCTGCTCATCAAATAAAAGTCAGCATTCAGCCAAAAAAACTTTACTTATTGCTTCATTGAGCACCAACTCATATCCAACAACCAGCGCAGACAGGTAAGGGATGAAAAAGAAGAGAGAGAGAATAATGAGAGTGTTATTCCATCTCAAGGTCAGGAGCAAAAACACATGAGAGCGAGAAGTCAAGAAATTGCCTTTTTATCCCCAAGAGCATACATAAATCTCAGTGGCAAAAACATAAAATGTAATTTGTTTTCTCAGATATTGTTTTAGCCTCTGATTCAGCCGACAAAAAGATGAGTTTGAAAAGCTGACACCTCATTTCAAGAGCTGCATTTTTACACACATAGCGGTCCACAGGTTTTCATAATGAAACAAAAAAATGATAATTTCATATACACAAAATGGCCGATGACTTCAGTCTAATTAACAAAGTAGTCTGTTTTCCCTTCTG